CCCCCCCCCCGCAAGTCAAGTGTTAAAAAATGCAATACACTATACATGGGCTAAACGCATTACAACACCCTTCACCTGGTCGTTAGAATTATTCATCGATATCTGATATCTTGAATGTGCGCTAACATGGAGTATTTGAAAGATTCGCCATTGGAGTAGTCGTTGACTGCGAGTGATATTGCTAAAGCCAGAAGTTAGAGAAAATGTGGTGGTTCTTTCTTTATTCTTTATTATTTTCTTATCATTACTTGGGCCTAGGTCGCAGCTGCTGCTACCTCCTCGAGATCAAACCATTGCTTGTGCCTACTGTCGGGGTCATCTCTAGCTCTACCAATAATGGAAAATGATCTGAAATGAAGTATCCATAAGACAATCACCTATCGTTTTCATGGTTTAACGTTTCATTACTTATAGAAGGTTAAATACCAGATGGAACATGAGGATGTGGACAACCGACCACTTTGTGTTCTCTGAACCAGTCTGTACTCAAAGGGCCCAGAAGTCCCAAAGGTATCATACTCTGTTTTGAGTAAAAAATGTAGTCTATTATGCCCTTGAAGTCGAATCTGGAAAGTTCAACGCACAATTAATTAACTTCAATGTAAACTTTTTTTAAATTGTAATACTTCACAAGGCAGAGCTTACGTATAGTTAGTGTAGGGCATGATGTCTTCGCTATAGGCAGATGCAAGCTTAAACGAGTGGGTGAACTCATTAGGCTTATCGCATCCGGAGATCTTCTGCAAACATGATTTGTATGCCAAGTCTTTAAAGTCACGGTGGTCAGCTGCTACTCTCCCTGATGTGAGGAATTCAATTACACCTGCAATTACGCATTTCGATAAATATTAATGGTAAATTTAGAAACGGGACCCTAAAGCAAACTGCCCGGTAATAATAAAAATTGTAATTATTTACCAGAATCAGGTAAGGAATTGAAGTCTCCACAAAGTAACAATTGAACATTGGAAGAGTCTGTCTTGTGACCGAGTCTGAACGACTGGCCAGCTTGGTCCAGAATGGAACGCAGTTCGTTACTGAGCATCATCGTTTGAATTAATTTGACATCACAGAATTCTGGATCCCAGTGAATGTGTGCTGTGCAGACTAAGATTGGCTGTTGAACTTGCGCTGGATCTGATGGAACTCCTGAAAAGAAATCAGAATTCAACTATCATGAAACAGGTAATACACTTGATTCAATAATAATAATATTTCGAGAAAATGACTTTTCTGTATCTTAGATACTCTTTGTCTTACAAGTGCTACGCAGGTTGTTAATAAATCCTTGATCATTGTTACTTAGCAAAGTTGAGTTAGTGTCGGATTCTATTTTCTGTACCGATTCTTTTGACAGTTATACAATACAGGGTGTTTCATTTATAGCAGAATGATTAAATTTAATATCTGATGTAGGGAAGAAGATATCAAAACAATGTTTTTACGAAAGTTATTTGGTATAAGGGCGGGGACATTAATAAAAGTAAGCAAACCGGTGGTAGAGATTTAAAAAACGAATAAATTTTTTAAATGGAATCATATATTTTCATCCATAATAAGATAGCATTTGTTTATACAAGTTTATCGATCTATCATACGAGATCATTTAAGGTAAAATAAAGCCTGAAATTGATCCTACAAACAGGGCTTCAAATGTCTTGAAACACCCTGTATATACAAATACGAGACATCAAATTTAATTAAGCTGTACGCATAATTTTATAGGAATTATTATATTATATAAAAATAGAAATTGTACAGGAAATAATCAAATACACAAAACTATTATGGTATATTTTAAAATATGATACATATGAAGTATAAATCGTGTTACTACATAGATACATCCACGCTATTATGTACTTTGAATATATTTGTAATAAATTGAATAGACTGAAATGATGATAGTTCACATATCGATCAATGATTATAAAAGTATCGAATTAGAATGGGAGTGCTGCTCTTTATTATTATATCCATATAAAACTTTTTACATAAATCAAAAGCTTTTCAGGAGGAGATATCATTCATATGCTGCAAGTATTTAATGGAACAAGGCTATTTATATGAAAAAATTTAATTCAAACAAGTTCCTTAGATTTTATTAGAATATCACTATCAATGTAAAGGTGCCATATAAAAGAGCACAAGGATAAGCAACGAGGAGGCGTTGGTTTTGTTCTCCGGATATAGTAGAAAGAAATCTGGATGCGGAAAGTGTTGCCCAAGCAACAGCAAGTATAGCAACAAGTAGTCCGATAGAGCCTTGTAGTTTAATAAAAATACTTAAACCGGCGAGTGCTACCACAGGTAATAAACAGTACCCCAGAATAGATGCTACAGCTGATAATGTGATATTGCTTGTATTGCTCATTAACGACAAAAGAATATACATTAATATACACGATATCACTGCTAAGCCATACACGTAACCAAAATATGCCTTCGAGGCAGCTATGGAAAGAAACGCCGCGAGTACTAAGCAAAATGACACTGGTCCAGCCAAATCAGAATCTTGCAGCAAGTAATTTGCATCGTCGATTTGTCCTCTTCTGTGAAATGGATTCAAAACGGCCAATGTTTTCTGTAATATTCGATCGGGATCTATGCCTAGTTCTTCCAAAAGCGGCGGTTCCTCCTCCTCGTCCACAAATCCGTTGGAACCTATACTTTCGTGTTCAAAGCAATAAGTATTGCAAGAGTTTAATCGAATACCGACTTTACATTCAATTTTTATTTTAATTGTTCACCTGTTTTTGTAAAATCATCCTGGTCGTACATACCATCTCTGTACGCATTTTGACTATTGCTCAGATAACTTTTCTGACCATACAAAGAATAATTATCGGATTGTTGGTCGCTATATGTTTGAAATTCGAATTGTTGGTTAGGTTGCTCGAAGCCAGAGGAATCGAAATTTTGTTGGGCTGGGTACGGTTGTTCCCAGTAATTTTCCTGGCCAGTATAACCAGACATTGTTGCACTGTTACATAAACTCGACGTTACCCAAAAGTTTATATACTTTTTATTTTTCACCTAATCCACAGATACCACGCATCATCGAAATAGCAAACTGTCACATCACAGGAGCCATGTTGAATTTCTCCCACCATCGTGTATAAGATGCGCGCGGGACAATTTTGAATATTGTCGGTAGAACAGTTCCCGGTACATAATTAATCTTTTTTGAAAAATAAAATCGTTGAACGATAACAAAAGAACCGTGATTTAACGATTATTACCCGGTTTTATATAAAATGGCAAGTTTGATTCGTTTTAACGAATATTAATAAACTTTTCGTCATATTTTTGTTGCTTACCATTGTCCCAAGCAGCTTCTTTTGTCTTGAGGAGGGCGGCAAGTCCGATGTTATCTTTTGGCATCACTCTGTTCAGCATGTTGTCGGAGCCCTCCGCGTTCGCCATTGCCAACTGATTGAATTCGACTAAGTGTTCCTTTATCAAGGTAAATCTACGAAACAAACCAAAACGATCGATTAAAATGGCGCACGATTAATTTTAATGCCAACACCAAAGAATTATTGTCACGAATTGCAAACCCTTTACTCGATCAAAATTTTCCTGATTTCGCGATTCGTTACTCAGGGAAATAATTCACCGAAACTTTATATATTTGAATAAAGCGAACGGAAAAAATGTACTCGAACATTGCGCCGCTTACTTTGCCGTCCTATAAAAAATGGCGCAGCCATCCACGTATTTGCGGTCATTCTCTGCCATGGTTTTTGCCCGAGATTTCGGAGAAAAGATTCCATCGTAACCGTCCTGCTTGAGCTCCGGCAGGAAAAAATTGTAGAATTGGTCTGTCTCGACTTCCTGCAAGCTGATGATGTCCGCGGCGTAATGCCGTATCTCGTCGAGGATTCCTTTTTTTCTATACTCCCAATCGAGCGCCCAGCTAGGACAATAACCGTACATCTGTCGCGTCGCGTACTTGTCGCACAGCACGTTGTAACACATTACAGTGAATATACCTAAAACAGGAAAAAAAAATGCTCGGTGAATAAAAAACGTACCCTCTGGTGTTGTTTGTTTAAAACAGTCAATCGTCTTTTTGCTATGACCAGCGAAACTTTCTTATCCATTACCGAGATTGGATCGAATGTTCTCAGCATTATATTGTAGGAATTATGAAATATTAGAGAAATATAGAGTATTTATATTAACACTATGCTGACTGATAGTTCTCGCATGGCACCACAGTGGTCGGGGCGGACGGTTGCTTGGTTTTTTTTTTCAAGTGCGTAGCCATCACTTCAGTTATTGCACTAAATCTATACATCACGATACAATTATTTCTATTTTTCTTAACATTACTTTGCCTTACATAACTCCTGGATTTTGGTCTTAGTTCGCGTTATCGTAACTCTGTACGTTACATTTACGGTAGAGCAGTGCGTAGCGTAGTGGACTACCACGCTGAAAACCTGGGTTCGAATCTCGGCCGGGTCCGCCCCGGTTTTTTTCATGGTTGGGTTAGGGCTAAAAGTATGAAAAAAAAGCCTAAGGCAAAAAAATAAAGAAATGATGATAAAAATAAAAAGAGAATTTGAACAATCAAAAAAAAATTACACCTTGTAAGAACAATAAAGGGAACCGGGAAAGTGTCAGTAAACTCCCAGTTAAGCGCTAGAAAACATAAAAACAAAAACCACAGTGGTGCCCAATAGTATTTAACGGACGGCATTAGTATTAAAAAGTGCATTGCTTACATGTTGGTCTCGTCCTATTTGGCCTCGTCAATGGTATCCAGGGTCTCTGGGGTGGATGATTTGCGGTAACTGAAAGCAAGAAAATCCCAACGATTAACAATAACGTTACATGTATATCGCGTACATACATTATATATCGTTTAATCGATACCGACATTTATTCGATAAGTTGTGGTTTACGGACGATATTTTACACAATATACAGCCCGACTGTGTTTCAAGTTGGCTGGTAAACGCAAACAGAATTACGTATTTGCTAAAAAGAAAAAAACAAGGAAGGTTAAATAATGATAGTGTGACTTTTAATCGTGTGCAGTTTATAAGGAAATAAATTACCAAACTTGTTTAGTGCCGTGCGTATGTATACACCTATCCGAGTGCGTGGAAATTGCTCGCTTTGAAGTTATTTTAAATGAGAAGTGTCCAACGAGAAAAAGAAGCAGAGAGAGAGAGAGAGAGAGAGAGAGAGAGGGGAGGGGGAGGAGAAAGCGTACTGGGTGTTATGTTCTGGCTTGACGTGATCTAATGGATGGAGGTCAGTTAGGGTGAAGCCGAAACAAGTCCGCGACCGCGGGTGGTACGCATACGGAACGCGGAAATACTAAGTAACTTCCTTGCTCAGGTGGAGGAACAACTCTAGTACATCAGGTTTGGAAACTTAATATTTGCGTGTTATGCTAAAGATGAGCCATGCGCATTTTCCATCCAGGGGTGGCAGAGGGGGTGAGGGGGACTTGAAGGATAAGAAACGTTAGACGTTAAGCCTCTTGATGGGTGATAATTGGTTTATCGGTCAACCATTTCGTTGCCAGACGAAGAGATTAATTCTACTCGTTGTAAATCTATACAATTTTTAGTCTTCGAATGTGATCTAGAAAGAGGACACCATCGAAATAGAGTCTAATGCCGGTAACGACATAATATTTCAACATTATACGTCAGAATAGTGAAAGATACAAAATACTCCCACTTCATACAGCGTTACACAATGTCTCGTACGGTAATTCAGGACGATACTATACATAATCCTCGACATCGATGCAGAGTATAGTACAGCTCTAGAAACTCAGATCTAGAAACTACAAATTAATTAGGGGAAATTAATTTTCAATGAACAGGACCTCGTTCGAATTTGTTTCGTCGAAGCTTGTAAGAATGAAGAATCGGGTCGTCCTGTAGCCAAGTAAACAGTGGACGTACCGACATGACATCGGTAATGGTGCTGACCGACGATATGGCCGATGCTATCAGGTGTATCTTTGCTGATGAAGGTTGCAACCTCGACCGGAGCCCATTTATTAAAGCGTATCTGCTCCGAGGATTGGAGGTTGCCAACAGGTAACGGCGAGAGTCAGCAGTCAGGCAACATCCCGCTGAAATTCCCATGGGATAAGCCGCGCAGAGGTTGCCAGCATGTTACCAGCGGGCAACTTCGCCAGCTGGACGCCGGTCGTGAACCTTAACTTTATCTCGCGTAGATTGCAATCAGTCATATTAGCCAGACACACCTCGGATGTATGCGACCATCTGGCGCGTAACTATTGCAGCCGAAGTAACGGTCGCCTGACATAATCACCGGTGTGCGGTGTGGTAGAGAGCACCACCGCTGCACTGGGAATAGCTAGAGGTGTGCGTGCTGTTTCTCAATGGAGCCTTCATTACCGACTGGTAACTCTGTGTGTTCCTTTTCCATTGTCTTACTTACCCCGGCCCGATGTCATTCGACCGAATACTCGACGTTGTTTCTCCTGGAGAGATCGAGTTATTAGGCTCGAATTATAGGATATCCGAATAGCGAAATAGTCCTGTTTATCCGCTTCTGCTGCTCCACTTAGTCGCTGCTTAAGGCAAGGTGAAAGGCAAAGACCTAACTAGACCTAACCAGACGCTATTCGGACCTACCGTATTTTACGGACTATAAGACGCACTTTTTTCTTTAAACAAAATTGCCTCCAAAATGCAGGTGCGTCTTGTAATCGAAATTGATATAAAAATGTCCGGTGTTTGATTTAAAATTCCCGCCAGTCTTAAGAATGGCCATATAGAGGATTCTAATAATAAAAATGTTACTAGACAACTAGAGATTTTTTGGGCAGTTTATTTGAGAACGTTGTTTCTTCGTGAACCGAGATAAAAAAAAAAAAAACTGTACGCTGGATAAATCACGTATATCGCCTGGCCACGCCTTTCTTAGACGTGTTGGCATTCATTGGGTAAGATATCTTGTTCTTGGAAAAATTTACACAGGTTCGTAAGATCACGGCATGATACATGCATCCGAGCATGCACCTGTGCCATGGGAGAAGAAATATATTACCTAGTAGTTCACCTAACAGAAAATAATACCGAGATAATGCGAAGATAAAACACGATCGGTCTGCAATTAACTTTATCGAAAGTTTCCAGTGGTCTTTTATCCGTTCGCGGTAGTCGATTTGCTTTATTACTTAATCCTTTAATTAAAGGTATATAACGAGAGCAAGAAATATTAAACTCGGGTGCTGAATTCGCATTAAAATTCTACACTTAGGAGGAATTATTTATTTACAAATGCTGTTACATATTATATACTTTTTATAAGATGATTATTAAATAATAATACTTTCGGTGATTTTTATCACTCCTTTGAAATAAATCATCGCTACTAAAGAAAATGTCTTAAGTCTGTTAATGGTATCTGTGAATGGTATAATTCTGTAAAAAGTTCATCAAATTCGGTGCCTTTTAATCGAGTAATTTTCGTAGACCGCGTGGCCCGACGAACGCGGTGAACCCACCACCTTGTGCCGGCCCTGCTTGGAGTTAGAAAACGTAGTTTACACGAGGCGACCGATGATGCGACGCGGCCCGGGCGATATCGGTACTTTGGCGAATTCGGCTCATATGTACAAGTGTGATACAAGGCAAGGCAAGGCAAGCGCCCATAATGGCACGCTTCACCTTTGAGATCCGGTTGTAAGATTGCATAGCACAGGCCGCACGATAATCATCTGGATATTGCTCCTGCGTGCATCGGCCGATACGCAGGATCAGATAATTGGTATTCAGTCGGTCGGCCATACTCAATGGGCCAACTTATCGGCTGCGATCTCTCTTTGGGAAGTGACTAGCTGCGGCCGGGGCAGAAGACAAACATAAAGGACTAGCGGCACACGCGGTTCCATTTTACCGCGCTGGATACCGACCGAGATATCGGCTCGTGACTCGGATGCGATGCGACCACTTTCTTACAGCGTTTCTCGACAGTCCTTTGTGTCTTTTCAACGGGTTTAATCGACGCGCGTCCGATATTTTTAGCGCGTCGACGAATAGTTAGCTCGAGTGCGTCGAAAAAGCAAAGTCACGGTGAGTAGGGATGTTCGTTGAAAGGAATGAGACTTTCTTACGCGATTTTATCGTTCGATGAATTGCATTATAGTTGGATGTTACGTTACGCTATAAGCTATCTCCGTTCGGGGAGAACCGAGGGATGCGTGGGATTCTCCGGCTTGGAAAATAATACGGGGATTTCAGACCCGACCCAGATCGCGTACAATGGATCGCTATCGTACGCGAGATCGTGGATTTTGTTCGAATTAATGTTACAATGGAATTATCAATTTAAGAGCTCGCAATTATCGAATTAAAGGCAGTGGTTAAAGGTAAATACTCGTAAAATCTTTGGAACGAGTGAAAACAACGAATCGATTAGTAGGACCCGCTGCGCGACAGTTGGCTATTGTTCTCGGTTCCCGAATAACGTAAATCATGCGCAGTTGGTACACCTGGGTGTACGCAGAAACTTTCGAGTACGCAGCAATATGGCAAATTATTTGCGGTGCATCTTGCTTTTGATTTAGCACCGCGGAAACTGCGGAGGTACATTGTCAACGGGAGAATTTAATACCAACTTGAACCGTGGAAACTTTAATTAATCATGGCGAGCTAACCGAATAACGACGCGTAACTCGCTACCTCTAATGATCTACGGAACGATATAGGACCTGTATTACGGTATCGTGTATAGGTGCATCGTGTCTGACTCGTAGGGAAAATTGCACCTTCGATCAAGAAAATAACTAACTAAATAACTAGTAACTTTGATTTTGTGTCGAAAGGAAGAAACGTAATTTACTAGCTGTCTAAATTGTACACACATTCTGTTCAGGTTTTAGCGAGGATTTCCTCGTCTGCAAAGAACACGGCCAACCGCGGTCGGATCGTTCATTTGGGCCCCGCGAAAGAAATATCTGACGGGGAATCGGTCGCTCCCTCGCTCCCTCGTTTGCGAAAGAAGATTTCCAACCGCGGCGCGCATACGTCGATTCTCGGCGTAGATTGGCTCGTAGAAGCGTAGAACCCTGTACATGGTGCACACATCGCGCACCACACGCCACACAGGCTAACACATGCCCGCCGCTAGCTTTGGTGCAAGTGGGCGCATGCCACGATCCTTGTGTCGCGATAACATAGTCGGCTCGGTTTCTATCTCCTCTGACAACTTAATTCCGGTGCTAAGCGGCCTCTGCTCGTTGCATGACTACTAGGAAGCCGACCCCCTCCAAGTGAAATGGTTGCACAGCCTGTGACGAGCCGCCGGTTCCTTCCTCTTTCCTTTCTGCCGCCACTAGTTTGCCTAACGATCGCTGCCACCGCTGAACTTACCATCGGTGCATCCTTAAAACGCTCCTGGATCCCCACGAGTAGCCTACGCTACTGCTGCCGCTCCACCGGTATACTCGCGCTCTGATTCGTCGGGATTTTCTCTTGATATCTCTTTAACGAAACCTCGGACATTTTCGCCAAAGAAAAAAAAAAAAATATATATATATACACGTCGAATTGAGTAACCTCCTCCTTTTCGAAGTCGGTTAAAAATGTTGTTCCTCGCAGCACCCCTTTCAAGGAACTCCAACATTTTTAGTAAATGCACCCTGCATAGGAACTCTACGATAAACGCGCAAATCTTATTAGCGGTTTATTAGCGTAGCAAAGAGATGCGTAGAACGAACATTTTCTCCTGTTTCCTCCGTTTCTCGTAAAGTTCCTGTTTTTTTTTTGCTTTTTTTTTTTTTTTTTTTGAAACCGTGTAAAAGCGAAATCGTGTTAGAGAAGCATGTTGTAAATCGGGGAATCCCGTTCGCGGTGAGATGACAGAGGAAGAAGGAAAGTTTGAAATTGAAGGGGGAGGTAAAAGACCGGACAAAAAGGTAGCGTCTGGAACTAATGCATCGTGGGAGCGGAGAAGGCACGAGCAACGCGAGTCGGTGGAACAAGGAAAGGGAACGAAGGAAAGGTCCGTTGACCCAGTGACACACTTCCATTTCCTTTCTCAACGCGAGCCAACGGCAGCGTTCCGAGCAGGCACCGGGTGTGGGCGTAAAGGCGCGTTCACACGGGAACACCCAACATACGCGATTACACCTGCGAAACAGAAAAAGACTCCGGCGTTTCCATTATCGGTTTAAATTCAGGTTCTCGATAAGTTTTCACGTAGTAATGATAACGATCGACGATATCGCATCGACTGACCCTGATATACGCCATTGCTTTATGCTTCCATACTTTCTCCGCCCTTCCTACCCCCACCCTTCTCCTTTACCTTTACTCGGGTTTCTTGCAGACATTTGAACGAACTCTACGTTTCACCTTGTCGTCTTTCTCAGCCGTAGCACCCCTCCTGTTACCGTGGATACGACACTGGCCATTTTTTTTTTGGTATCTACCAGCAACTCGAGATGTTTCTTAACAATCTATTGCTACGAGTTCTAAGATTTCGAGATGTTGGAACAAGGTTACCTTTATCTCATCGACAATCATTTTATTGACACGTCGAGCTCCAAAGAAACGAACCCTAAAGAAACAGGTATTGTAGATTTGCTCCGTGAAAGCTAACGGCGAGTGTCGCCTCTCGAGTGCGAAGGGTTAACGGTCATTCTGGTCGCGCATGCGCGAAAAAACGCGTCCCCGACTGGCATCGCTGCTGCCACCAACCGCTGTCCACCCTTCAACGCCATCTTCACTTTGTTGACGTAACGTTAGCCGAAAAGGAACCTCCTGCGAATATTTTCCTGAAAAATGCCCAGCAAACCCTCGCAGGATCAAAGAATCACGTTCGCTGAAATATGATATGCGCAACACAGGTTCCTTCGTCCTTTTATCAAAGCGTTTCCTAATTTCGTTCATAGAAATTTCACGAAAATGAAAAAGTTTTCGCTACGGAGGTTAAAATTGCCCGACATTTATACGACATTATTCGTTATTTCGTTTGCAGTCGTACGTAGCTACCTGGTGTCCTGTTTGCGATAGAAGAGTCAGCGAAAAAGGAGGAGACACTTACGGGCTTCTCGCTCATATTCGCGAATCTCATCCGAAGAGTTCTCGCCAATATTTTCCTCAGGTACGTTTTCGGATCGTAATTTATGGCTAAGATCGCGATAGAAAAATGTCGATCTTTAAATCGGTCGAATCATTACCAGTGACTCGAACGTACTATTAGCTTTTATTTATTTCACGAGAGATTTCAGTTTGTAAAATATTAGGAAGAGAAAAAGGAAGAGTCGAGGGCTACGTCTAAACGACTAACTCCGAAAAGCGCGGCTAGAACATGCGCAAAGAAAAACGAACCAAAAAAGGTCTACGCAACGCGCGGTACGTTTTATATCTCTATGGATTGTATCGATACAAATCGTATTTCGTTCGAATCTCCAGAAAAAAGAGAACTCGAATTACGTTTTATTTACTTCGTAATTTTTTGTAACGACACTTTGTTATTCGTTGTAGTCGACACGTGGAAATCGCACAATGAAACAAAATTGTGTCCTCGATGCCAAAAGGAAGCGGTACCGACACTTCACGCCAGAGGAGATAAACTGACCACCTCGCACATCGGTGCTCTTTGCCTCTTAGGGTAAATTCGAATTACGCAAACATTTGAGTCGATACGTGATCAGTGAAAAAAAAAAATGTCAACAGGTGTTGGCCACTTTGCTTCGTGCCGTTGATGATGAAGCGCGCGAAGAAAGTGCGCATGATTTGTCCGTTGTGTGGATACACGTATGGCAGCTTTCAGTACGAAAACGCTTCGCTGGCGCTTTGCAAAACAGATTCCGAAGATTCGCAAGCGAGACTCTCGTCGCCACCGCGAAGCTTTCGTTTGCAAGCAACGAGAGAGGAATATTGAAAACGAACGCTTTCCAAATATACGATTCGAATCTATAAAGTACGTACATATATAAATATTAGCGGATTAGTAGCGATACGAAGTACCAAAATTAAAAATGTACGTTCTATAATAAAATTCAAATACGGTAAATGTATCAAAACGCGTATATGTATATTATACTTTCTAAGGTTTTTCATCGCGTGTATGGTACCTTTGCATGCGTGCGTGCGAGGAGGAGAGATCGACAAGACGAAAACGAGTGGAAACGAAAGGAAAAGAAAAAAATGAACGAATCATCGCGTTCCTCGTGTCTAGACGCGATGCTATCGCAGTCGTTTCTTTTCCCTGCCGAAGAAATTTCACTTTGGATAACTCTGCCATTCTGCCCGCGTCACGGAGCTTTCGTGTTTACGAAAAGGTTCTAGATTAGGTTTGGATTAATATTATGGATCGCTTCGCGAAAGATTCAGCGTCACGATCATCCATTAGAAATTGAAATGACTTCGCCGTTGGAGAATTCAGGCCTGACTCGCGAGTTAGATTTCGAAACGAAAGGAAAAGAGAAACGAACGAGCCTCTACACGTTCTCCGTGCCGAGGAACGAGAGATATCGTTGCCGTTTATTTGCCTTGGTCGTCGAACAGAACTCACTTTGACTCGTTTCGCTATTCAACCTGCGTCACGGAGCTGTTATGTTTATGAAACGGCCTGTCGCACAAGGCGGAAAGCTCAGAAATAACGTAAATTCTAGAGAACGAAACGTGCTACAGTTACGGAATAGGATTTTGCAAATCTATTTTTTAATGCAACCCAGAGGCGACCTCCCTCTAATCTTGACTGCGATCGATTCTTTTTGTTTATGTGTGTTTATTGTGGACGTTTCTGGGACCTCATTTCATCAGGATTTCTTTTTTTTTCCATTAATGTTTTTTTATTTTTTCCATTGCACCACGAAAAAATCGGACCGAACGGTCGGGGATTCGAACCTAAGCTCTCGAGCGTTGTTAGTCGACTACGCTACGCGTTGCTCTACTCTCCGACCCATCAATTCTTTGCTGTAAATATTAGAATAAAACAACGCATGCCCGGCGTGCATTTAAACGATCGATACTAACAGGTAAACGGACTAAGATTTCGTTAACGATATCATTAAAGTCTATAATTTAACGTTTTCAAGGTAGCTGAGGTACGATAGTACGAAATTAAATCGAGAAGAAAAGAAATCTAAGCCGATCGCACGATACTAGTTTTCACAGTTAAATGCGAAGTCTCACGAGCTGGTAATTAGAGAAAGCAGAGGTTGAAAGAGCGTGCCTTTCTACCTGGTATTTTATTAGTATGAAAATAACTGGAAACGCGAGAAGACGTAATTACTGTGGAACACAAAACTTTTCTAGTATAGTAACGTGGTTCTCTTTCGCTCTGTCCTTTTCCACGTTCTACAACTGTAAACACAGAATAGAAACCTCGACCGGATAAACGAAATGTTTGGGTTCCGATTTTCTACGGGTGTATTCTCTACAGGTTTCGCACGTGTTCGCGACGCTAACCGTTTGTTCGAGTGCGCGAAGTTCGCGGTCTGATCGTTGCAAATGTTGTCTCTCGGTTCGCGGAAGATTATCGAAACGGAACCCTTCGCTACCCGACGCGGTATAGAACGAGTTATCTAGCCGTGTTCTCCCGTTCCGTCAGGAATCCCGCAGGATGGCCCTGTTATTCGTGGCAGGTACGTTAAAAGCCCTCCGGTAGTCGAAGCTGTACAAGAAGCGAGATTATCCGGTCGATCGAGGCGGCGGCGAGTTGGTAACTCGATAAGTTCACCGGACCAGATTCTGTTCTCCCAAGATACTTTGCGATTCCGTCAGGCGTACAGCGTACCGATACTGGACGCCCTCTGGCCAATTTAGCCCTAATCCTAGTCCTGATAACTTTGCGCGATCGTCTCCGACAACTCGCCTCGAAACTTTAACTATCTTTAATTACAATCACGCCTCGAGCCGTAAAGGGTTGATATTTTACGAACAGACGTCGATGAGCTTCGGTCAAGTCCGGATCGTCGGACGTCGGTGTTGCGACTCGAGACAATGAGATCATTGCTTAAAAAACAGTAGCGATCCGAGTTAGGTCTGGGTTAGATGTATCGCAAAGGAGATAGTCGGGCAAGCTGCCACGACCCAGTCTAGATTCTGGGAACCTAGACTAATTACCTACATACTAGCAGGCTCCTGATCTCGGCGATGCTGACCTGCCTCTTCTTCGAGTCGTTCTTCGACATTTTTCTTTCTCGGTGATCCACTCTAACGGACCCAAACAAATAGACGCGTAACGATGTCCTCCTCTATCCTCGAAGAAGAAAACCTTTCCGAACGGTGCAACCGCGACTTTAATTAATTCACCGAGCAGTCGATCGCGTCCAATGAAATTCTGTAATTAATTGACTAATTAATTAAAACCGTATCGCGTCGTCGCGACCGCGGCGGCGGGCTTGCTCATAGACGCTGAGCAGTTAATTAATTGCTTTCGTTTAAATTACATCGTTTCAAAGTGTTTCGGCAGATTTATTGCTTGAAAGTATTTTCCAAAAGTTGTCTCTGGCGCTTCCGAACGAAACTAGGAGAAACAACTTTTAGAAATTTTATTCAGAAATACCCTTCACTTTGTTTTTAGGACGACACGAAAGCTCGGCCGAGACGTCGCGATCCCGAGCGTAATTACCGTGAGGATCGACGGACGAATGAACGGCATCGATACGGCAAACGTAAAGACACGGTTCGATCGAACGCCGAATACCATATGCAACAACAGTTAAAATAGCTGTAAACGCGACTAATGCAAATGATACATGCAGGAAAACAATTTAAATAATTTATTTATTATTCAGCGCAGCGTTCGTTAATTTGCCTACACAGCCGGACTCGATACTACATAAACGCGATAGAGAGGGTAGAGAAGTTAATGAGCCAACGCGCCAATTAAAACAGCATGGTAATTAAATGACCGATCGATGATGGGATTACCGTAATTACGACTAACAATAAGTAACGTTGCACTGACCGACATAATCGATGGATACCTACTGGTCGATGACAACCTAACCAAGACCTGACCCAATCTATTATACAGGGTGCACGATTTATCCGAAGACTTGTGTGTACTTTAACTATTCGTCCCCATGTATCGGACTTTTCTGATACGTTTTCTCACAAAGATCTCTTTTTGCCTTAACGCCGTATTTTGTCCATTACATACCTTACGCCCTAAGGGATTATCTACACCTTATATTTGTTAGCCAGTCCTAACCCGACCACGAAAAATTGGACCGGATGCCCTGGGATTCGACTATACACACTATACACTGCGCTACCGTTCAACCGGCTCGCAATCGACAAGAATCGCGTAGAATAATATCTGTCTTCGTTTCATAACTCGTAAAGTTAACGAAAACCTCCCCGAACTACTCTCCTTACTCACCAACAACTACCTACAGAACAGACAGTCGTGCATACGAGCGCACGGCGCTAATTATTTGACTCGAATGGTTGTTGAAGCTAATGGTAGCCTTGCAATGGCGTTGCTGCAACGATCCTGCGCCACATTTTGTCTTAACACTCGTTTCGAGACGGTAACGTACACCTCGGGGAGAACGGGAACATAACGGATCGGTATAATTAAGTTGGCCTAGGAAACAATTATGAAATCTCGCCGGTGAATAGAAAACACGCAAGTAATACTACTACTCTACATAGTATAATGGGTGTCCTCGTTTTGTATTTGAACAGTTACAGAAAACTCGGGGATAACTCAGACCCTGAGCCAGACCGTTGCTTTCTGGACGCAAACGATCTGAATTTCTCGCATTGTTTGTTTGTTTGTTTGTTTGTTTGTTTGTTTGTTTGTTTGTTTGTTTTGTGTCTATAGCGGGTACTTCTGAGAGCTACTTGGCGCGCGCCTCTCGTGTTTTCCACTTTTCCGGAACCCTACTTTATGAAGATATCTCTTCTTTTCTCGATGATTTTTTCTTATTTTTTTTTTTTTATTATGGATCTTGTGCTTGTAAGCTTTTCGATATCTTACACTTGTTCGTCAATTCTAACTCTACGCACTGCTCCATCCACCGTCCGTTCCTTTTCTCGCATTGCAGGACCAGGACTCGATAGTCGGGGTCGAATAACTCCTAATTCACGTCTAAACAGACTTAACCGAGACACGCGATTACTTTTTGTACCCGTTACCATTTTCAACCAGTTCCCTCTGTCTGTTGCTCGTTCCTAGCCGATTCCTCTTGCGCGTCGAACGCTGTCCTCGTTCGCCGTTTCTCTGTTTTCTCACGACCTGCTCCCTTTCCACTGTATTCGGACTCGAAGCTTATTAGGCTAAATTTATTAGCACGCGAGCAAGATTCGAGACCGTTGCTAGACAGCGTGGCTACTCGAGCAGAGATCAAGGTCGTACGATAGAATACAACGAACACGAGTCGTATCAGCGATCTTTGGCACGCCGGTGCCATATACATACATATAGATGCAAGATTACGGAATAACTTTAACATTACTTTCGGCGAAATCTACGGAGATATTACGCGGCGGTGTACGTTCGTCTTCTTCCTCGGCGCTCTTTCGACGTATATTTGTTACGTAAATAGCGTCGATTGGAACGTCAACCCGAATTCTGTTGTATAATATTGGTCTGTCCGGATAGTCCATGGCGATTTTTGATAGGCGGTACAGGTCCGAATGGCTGAATTCCTCAAAAGGTGGAAAAGTTGTGGAACAAAATGGTACATGTGTTATTCAATAAATATACATGAAAATTCAAATATGCCTTTGAATTTTTCTTAAAAATAGAACTTTCCGGACAACCCGATACTATTTATAATTTACAAATTCGTTACACGTTTTTATAAACCCGCAACGTTGAGAATGCCAATTAGAATGCTTTGAAAATGGCCAATGGCTCTTGGCCCTCGACGAATGGGAAGAAATGATGTAATAAAGAAGCTGCCAGAGAAAAAAAAAAGAAAAAGCAGTAGTCGAAGAGTGCAAGGAACAAGCAAGAGAAGCTAGCCAGTGTTTGAGACACCGATAAATCTAGAGTCTCGCTTCACCGTTGCAGACTAGAAACGCAAAGTGGACTTTACTATGCTTAAGCTCGAGAT